ATTATTATTATTATTATTATTATTATTATTATTATTATTATTATTATTATTATTATTATTATTATTATTATTATTATTATTATTATTATTATTATTATTATTATTATTATTATTATTATTATTATCATTATTATTATTATTGTTATTATTATTGTTATTATTATTATTATTAGCCCATTGTCATCTTGAAAATGATAAATTGTTAAATTTTTGATAAATTGTCAAATTTCAGTTCACAACAGAATTTGAAAAATTATTCGATTCTCTTTTTTATTCAGTGCAACAAACTGATGACCAAATATCGTGATTCTATTGTGATTATGATTACGTTAAGATTATGATTTTGTTGTAATTATGATTATGATTCTTTTGTAATTATAACTTAATTTCGTATTTTTCTTTTTTTGTTGCAAAATTTTCTAATAATTCAATGACATATTTTGCATCAAAAGTCAAATTAAATATTTAATAAATTAGACGAATGATATGCTTAAATTGTATTTATTTATTAATTAAATTAAACATTACTTCAATAAATTATCAGTAAATGATAAAAACTGTTATATTTCAACTTTAATTTTGCATCATTTTACGTGGAGTAATTAATTGATGCTTTAGTTTTCAGAAATGTTATGAAAGTTTTGAGTAATACGAAGTGAACATATGAAATTTGAAATTGATAGCAGAAGACAATGTAAAGTGAACTTTTGGAATTTAAAAATGATGGGAGATAGTGATGTAAATTGAACTTGAACTTTTCAAATTTTGAGTTGACAGAGGGAATGATGTAAAGTGAACTTTTCAAATTTCATGTTGATAGATGAAATGATGTGAAGCGAATTTTTGAAATTTGAAGGTGATAGGAGACAAAAATGTGAAGTGAACTTTTCAAATTTCAACTTGATAGAAGAAATGATGTAAAGTGAAATTTTAATTAAAATTTCAAATTAATAGTGAACAGTAGTACGCTTTAAATTGAATGGTCTAAAAATAATTTAAGAAATGATAGAAGAAATAATTACATATTTAAATTGGATAATCGATAATTAGTTTTGTAATTTACAATGAATTTTTACGAGAGGCAAAAAATGAGAAGAATTAAGGGAAAAGTAAGAGAAAGGCAAAAGACAGAGAGAGAAGAGAGAGAGAGAAGAGAGAGAGAAAGAGAAAAGAGAGATGTAACAACTGAACTAAACAAATACATCGGTATTAAAGTAAAATAGTAAGGTAGCAACCAAACGATTTCAGCAATCAGTTTATTGATAAAATATTGATAAGTTTATATCATTGATAAATTCTTTTGGAGATTTTTTTAAAGATTTCTTTTTTTTTAATTTTAAAAATAAATTAAAATTCAAATATTCACATCGTTTATTTTATCGATTAAAATACAATACGATGAAATGATTGTGTATTCTATACAATGATTCACTTTTTTCGCAAGAATATTTTCAGGTAGATTGTTATTAGATATGTCATATATTAACGTCGTAAAAATGTCGCATAAGATAAAGATGTCACAACTAGTTAACATGAAAGTATCAGAAATTGTGACGTAAAAATGTTGTAATATTGCATATAATGACGTAAAAATGTCGTATATCGTGGTATAAAAGTATAAAAGTGTTTTGTAATTTAGCAAAAAAAAAAGAAAGTGTCGTATATCATAAAATAAAGATGTCATATAATGTGATATGAAAGTATTTGTGTATTATAAAATGTCATAAATGTGTCACAAATATTTGTATTCATCCAAATATCATATATACCTTAATTAAACTGAAATGAAGTGAATAATTGCATCTGTTCAATTCTAACATTTGTTTTAAGCAATTTGATGAAGCATTTATGCTTGAAATAATTTGGTGTCGCTATAGCAACATCCTAAAAATTTCTCCTGCATTGATGTAAAACTTTGCTTCATCATATCACCATGACATTTTACGATTCTTTTTCATTTCACTCTCTTAGGTTAGTTTAGTTCTATCATTCAAAACTAAAAACTCTTTCTTTTTCTTTTTTTTTACTGTATCAAACTTGAAAATTAATAAAGTTATAGATAGTTGAAGTTTTTATTCAAAAAATTATAAAAATTAAAATATTTCATTTATGATTAAATTTGAAATGATTTATTCTTTGATCTATTATTATACATTAAAATTGCTCATTAAAATTTCTCATTTTTGATTATGTTTTAAAATGAAATCTGTAAATTTATATGAATATTGTTATTTAGTGTAGAAGAAAAAAAAATTGTATAAACAATAGAATATGCTATTTTAATTATTATATTCATTATATTTCTTTTTTTTTATTGCTTGTTAAATTTACATATATATATTTAATATTTCTATTTAAAGTAAATATGGTAAATTTTACTTTTGAAAATAAAAGTTTAGCATAAACGGCAAAGTATGTAAATAAATAAGTAAGTAAGTAAGTAAGTAAGTAAATAAAATCCTATGGGAGCTAAAATTTTCAGTGGTTGGTATAAAAAGACATTTTGATGAGATGAATGTTAAAAATTGCAATAATATATGGTCATTATTTTAATTCAAATCCATCAAATGAATCATTTGTGGTTAGCCATTCAATCGTTGATTTTTCTTTTCATCACTTTCATCAATTTGTAAACAATTTTTTCATTCATATACATATATACGATTGAAATTTAATGATTAAAGATCATTATGGTTGGTTTGTTTATGCTAACTAAGCTAACATTATACTATAAATCATTTAAAAATTGATCGTTAACTTAGCATTAAAAAAATAAAAAAAATTATTTTTTGTTTTGTTTAACGTAAATGATTTTTCTTTTTTTTTCCCTCAAAAAATTTTAATTTAAATAAATTTTACAACAGCAATTCATAGTCTATTGGCATTGTTACAAGGTTAAAAAAAAAATTTTAAATATTATAGTTTTATTTTGAATTCCATTTGGATCGATTTACTAGTAATTAATAAATAATTTTGAAAATGATTTATATTTTCTGTTCATTTGATGAAAGCATTGGTACGAAGGAAATGAACTAAAATTGTTAAGGAAGATAAAAATTGAAAAAGAATGGAAAGGAAAAATATTTTTTTGTTTTTTGTTTTTTTTTTCTATTTTAAATTCCATTATAATGAATATTTTCAACAACGTTTTGTTTTTTTGAGTTGAATACAACAACTGAAGGATCATTTTTCGTTTTTTCTTTTTACTTTTTTTATTTATTCTTAAAATTTCTCAATTTTATTCAACTTAAATTTTATTGCAAAACATTGTTCAGAAGGTAAGTAATTTTGTTGGAGTTACGGTAACTTACTTTATAAACTATGAAAAATCAGCTAATTAAATAATTAAATCAGTGATGTTGCATATCTATAAACAAAAGTAGAATGATATTAAATCATATTCAAACAATTTCAAATATGGTTAGAAGATTTACGTCATTTAAGGCTTATTTCATTATAAATTAACAGTTTATGACATTTTTATTTTTTGAATTTTAAATTATTACTTTCAATTCGATAATTCCTAGCAACTGGTAATAAAAAAAAAGTGGTAATAATAAATTTGTTAGGATGATTTATGTTTGAAATATGAACTTTCACCTTTCAGTTATTGCCAAAAAATTAATTTTTAACTTTTGTTTATCGGAAATGAATAAATTTTAATATTTATTTGTTGGAAATGAATAAATTTCAAGTCGAAAAATTTTGCAATGCATCATGAGGAAAGATTTATTTCTAATTTCATTTTGTTATCATTCAAATATAAATTTTCCTCTTCAAGTAAAGAGAATAAAAGGATTGAGATAGTGATGATGAACAGAAGTTTGTTTATTATTTCATGA